TCCATTATTGTTGCTTATGTAAGAGAACTTCAGTTTCTTCATCAGTAGAGTATGCTAATTATGAATATGCTGCTAATCAGCTCTGTGGAAGCACAAGTTCATATTCCAGTTAAAATAGTAGATACTGATATCTTGGATTATGCGAATTGTGCAAAACTAGTGTTAAAATGTTGAGTTAATTTATACTGCTTATATTTATATGCAGTATTCATGGACATTGGTGGTTCTGGAAGTGAGGCTTTGTTAGATATGTTTCTGTCACCTGAAGTGTTGCATTCGTGTGAGTGTTTTAATCTTAAAACCTGAATTTTTTGTAATCTAAAGAGTTTTTAATTGCTGCCTGTTGTAAGAGTAAACATCTGTAACCAAGTACAGTACAGACTAGTGCATTACTTTTTAAAGACAGATTTTAATGAAAGTAGCATTGCCTCCATGACTCTGCAGGCAGTTAGAAATCCTCTCTTCTTCTTTCCAGAAGCTCTTACTTTATTCTGACCTCCTTTCAAAGGAGTCAGTGTGATCTGAGGATTGAGTCTACTGCATTTTTTCTTTTGAGAAAGTTTCTCCCAGGGCTTTCAGAGTTTGCTCCTTAGCATCCTGGTGGGCAAAATAGAACTGCAGCCATGCATATGAATAGATTTCTGATTTTCTGGGATGAGAGACTACAGAGGTTTTATTTTGTTTTGCCCTGTGTTGTACAGTCTTCTCAGGTTGCCAACTAAGGTAACTGTAAACCCAAAATAGTTGGAAAATATCAGTGCAAAGAAAATAGTCTACTCCATAAGAAATGAAGCAGTGAACATGGTATTTTCACGTGACCCTACTTCAGATGGATATACATACTCTCCCTGACGCACAACTGGATTACGGAAGGAGGTTTGTGGTTTGGTAACTTGTAGGTGGCATCTAATGATTTCCGTTATGGCATGTTTAATATGGTAACACACTGCATTGTTTGTTTTCTGTGAAATTACAGGGGAAGGAAGCTCTGTGAAACATCTGGCCTCATTAATAATTAAATTGGCCTTGCAGCTATGAATCATTTTTGTAGTTAATCTTCATCCCTTTTGTAGATTGGGGGTGGGGAGGAAGGAGGGAACATATGCCTGGGTAATTCAGTAACCTTTAGTGTTTTGTTATCTGGGCTGGAAAGTAAAACATTTCCATCTTGAACAGACAGTGTGGAAGCAGTAAATCCAGAATCTGAAATTTATGAAGCACTTCTTTATCAGCTTTTTACATGGCATTTGAAAAGCTGTAGTATTTGAAGCAAGGTCTGTTCCTGCTATAGTACCCCACTGAGCTCAGGGTGGGCTAATGCATTGTAGGAGGACATGGAAAGACACTTCCTCCCCCTAATTAAGACTTGGAGGAACAGATGCATTTGAAGTGATCAAAGATGTGATTAGTAATTAGCACATGTTACCTGACAGTTAACTTGACTGTAGTCAAGTATCACAAGGCTAGTTCTATGAAAAGCAGCCAATTTGCAAAGTATTTGATTAGGATGGCACCACAAGATCAGGTTTTTTTTATATTTTGTCATTAGAGGAAAAAATATTTTAAATTTACAGTATGTTCTTGAAAATAAACTTTACAGAATTTGTACCAGTTGACTTCAAACTGAAAAGGAACTAGAACAGCCCTCAAATATGTCTTTGCGAGCCACACAATGTCAACACACTGATATTTAGATTCCAGTAATAGCATTTGCTCAAGATTTGTACAGCACACAATAGATTATCAATATACATAAAATATAACTCTGGGAGAGAGGAAAGTAGATCCTACAATGTCACTGAGCTTCCTTCTAATAATCTCAGCTTGGTGGTAAAAGTATGCACAAGTGTACAATTCCAAAGGTTATTTATCCTGAAACCCCCTTTTCCCTGCTTAAATGTAACTCAAATTCTGGGCCTCAACTTCCTAATTCTTGCTTTATAAACAAACAGACCAAATCTAACAGTCTACTTTGACATGGTGCATGGCTTATTTTAGAAATTTTACATTCAACTATATAGTAGCTCAGCAGCATATAAATCAGACAAAGTTCAAAAGAAGATATTATGCCTTCCAAAAAACAAGATAATTCCTTAAATCCCAGTCATTGTGCAAGACATTTACAAGGCATTTTTATGACTTTAGTGTGTCCAAACATTTACTGTATCAGGACAAAGACAATAAGACAGACAAAATCTAATAACCACTCTCTGTTACAGACAAGTAACGTATTTACTCAAAGCCAAGACGAGGTTCCCCACCCCCATTTCACACAATGGGAAAAAAGCCGTGCTTTGGATCCGAGTACCAGGGCTGGGCCCGAAAGCTACTGTCTGCTTCTACTCCCCAACCCCCACTGCAGCAGTGCAGGGAAAGGGAGAAACAGATGAATTTAAGATGACCCTCCAATAACTCTCTACACAGAAAATCATAAACAAACTTACAATTTTCCACGCAGAAAATCTGATTATTGGGCAGATCTGTCTTAAAATCAGAGTCACCTTGGATTCAGATAAATGCAGCATGTGTGTGCGCTGTGTGCATGAGATCTTTGTATGCATTCTTCTGCTCTATGTCTGTGCGCGCGCGCGCACACCCCCCCCCCACACACACACACCCCTTTGAAGAGTCCCTTTGAAGCCACTGTGTATTAGGTTTCAGTTCTTATTTCTTGCAGGATCCTAGCAATTTGTTTGTATAACAGAAAACTTCCAGATTAGTTGATGAAAGCCATAAAAGCTCTCCATTTTGGTAAGATTAAATCTTCAGTCACGGAGGTTAAAGGGTTAAAGTGTAAAGTATTACATCTGCACAGTACACACTGGTTTTATCCATGGATCTAAATAGATTTTACAAATACTAATTTAACTCAGGACTATCCAACTGGAAGCCTACAGGTGGCATGCAGCCCATGAAGGGTAAATATGCAGCCTCTGGGCTTTTACCCAGCCATTGCTTCCTCATCAATCTCTGGCTGCTGCTTCCTGCCTTGGTCCCAGGGGCAGACAGCACAGGGAAGTGAGCATGAGTCTGGGCTATGTGGGCAGGAGGGAAGGGTGGGGAAAAGGAAACAGGGGCCATGCAGTACAGTGGCAGGGTGAGAGCACCCACATGGGCATGTGTTGCCAGGGCAGGAGGGGGAAGTGTGTGTGGGGGTGTAGAGAATCACATTTTCATACTTGCATAGTACAGTGGGTGGGGAGGGCATCCAAACAGCATGCCTGGTGTTGCCCTTGCTGATGTGCTATAGTCCCTAAGGGCTTAAATTGGACAGCCCTGATTTAATCTAACACTCTTATGCAACAGGCTTTGCTAACACCATTTTATATTTGAACAAGACAAAACCCAAGATAAAAGAAAAACTCTAACAGAGCTAGGAAGAGAACATGTTTCCCAACTCCAAGCACTCTACATACAAACCCATTTTTACACCTTGAAGGCTGAGGAATATAGCACACAAGTTAGTAATTAGTATGCATGAGTTATATTGTAAAAACAAAGTAAAAGCAGTTCTAAGGGTAGCAAAGCATTATGTACAGGAAACAAGCAAACATGAAATTACACTCCATGTCTACATTTAAAGAAACCAGTTGCCTTTTTGGTCCTGTTTCAATATCTACATGCCTTTCAGAGTCTGCCTCTGTGGAGGTATTTTTTACTTTGCATTTGTGCTTGCCTCTTGCTGCCACAAAGAAGTCTGGCACTTAAGCACTTCCAAAGTCCCACCACTGATAGCTGTTCTTCAATAGCCAAAGAGTGCAAGTATTACATTAAGAAAACAAAACTACTTTAACAGATTTCTGGGCTCTTGACTTTAAAACTACTTTTTAAAAGAAATTTTATTTAAATCCACATGGAATTAACAAATATTCTTTGTTGCTGCAAGTGGTAAACCCAAACCCAAGTATACTAGGACTTACACCATCAGTGTACTTCCACTGTCAAAAAACAAGATTTTAGAAATATTACATTATAAGCAAAGACTGACTAGTATGCCCAGCGGTTGCTCACTTCCTTAAGATGGAGAGTGTTATTTAATATAAAATTAAACTGTGTCAACTTAGCAAAGGACAAATGAGGTAACATTCTTGACCAGCAAGAGATAAGGAGGCACTACAAGAAACTAAAGCCTCACCCTACTTTATGTGGTTTAAAATTTCTTAGCAATATGATACCCATAATCCAGAGGTTCCAATATCTTTGCATCTATACAAGGTCCGTATCCCTTACACTATTTTTCCTGTGTATGTCCATTTTAAACCCTTTTCCATAAAAATTATGCTCTCATCATGTGAGGGGAGATTTTATTGCTCAGCAGGACATTAAAGATGCAGCAAAACTGTCCTGCAGATCCTAGCCATTGGAATCATAGGAAGTTAGGGTTGGAAGGGACCTCAGGAGGTCATCTAGTCCAACCCGCTGCTCAAAGCAGGACCGTCCCCCCCAACCAGATCATCCCAGCCAAAGCTTTGTCTAGCTGGGTTTTGAAAACATCCAAGGATGGAGCTTCCCCCACTTCTCTGGGTGACCTGTCCCAGTGTTTTATTACCCTCTTAGTAAGAAAATTTTTCCTAATATCTAATCTAAACTTCCCTTACTGCAACTTGAGACCGCTGCTCCTCAACATTCACTACCAGCCACACACTGTCATAAGGTCTTTGGCAAGGTCTTCTCAGAAGTTCTCAAAAAGAGACAGATGAAGACTTAAAATAGGAACTGTATTGAAAGTGCAATATAGCAAAGCTTCTGAATTTAAGCTATTCTGTTGTATGGATAAAGCAGGCTGCATAAGGAGCTACAATATTTTTTCCAGTAATATGAAATATGATATATGTGCATAAATAAATAAGATACCAGAGTGCATCTGCAGTTTAGGGTTAAGATTGGTGTATTTTCACCTTGCTTGAGACTACACAAGAAAAAACAGAAATATTATCCTCAAAAAGAAAGATAATTAGATAAACACATGAAGCTTAAAATCCCAGTTAGATTACACTTACCATTTTCATCTCCGGTTGTTTTCCGACTGTCATCTAGAGAAACGTGTACCAGCTGCAGGATAAGGGGTCTCCGGGTGATAATCCCAGTACCTCTTGGGAGCAGATCCCTTCCCACAAGACTTTCCAGCACTGAACTCTTTCCACTGCTCTGAAAACGGGAAGAGAGCTAAATGACTGTCTTAAAATGCTGAGATGCTGTAATATTCATTCCACTGTATGGCTGTAGCTTTTATCACTCACGTATGTATGTATGATACCCATTCTTACCTCTTCTATTCACCTTCCTAACCCTCATGTTACTTCGGACTGGTAGATAAAGAAGACACAAGTCACTGGTATCATGCTGTGCAGCCAGATACAATATAGGGCAACATGGCAATAGGTTTGCCTAGTGTAATGTAATGAACAAAAGTCTCCTTTCAACTTTTATGTTAAAACCTATATGTTATAAAAAAAAATTTTTTTTTAATTATCAGAATTGTCTATACCCAAACTAGTTTGTCTGAAACAGCTGTCCCTATTCTACCTTTTAACATGGGAGTGGTAGAAAGGAGGGTTATAAGAGTTAAGGTACAGGTGTGGGCCAGGGCTAATGATTCAAAGGATTCCAAGCTCCAGCACTGACCATGCAACACCTATGGACAGTCACTAGAAGAAACCTATAATGGCATTTCATGAAAGCTGTGCCCATCTAATTTCCCTTGGTGCTAAAACCTTAATTTTTTGGATCTGTGCTGAGCAACCTGCATTTTAACAATTTGTACCTGTTCTTTCTGCAGTTGTAAATAGAAAATATTGGACAAAAATGGTCCAGAACCCATTTGAAACACCTTGGGATTGTACAACAATGCAAATACATTATAACACTGACTCAACAAAGCAGTGAGGGCAACATCAGAATTTCCTTGGTCTTTTCATGGTTTGCCGACTGCAGGGAGCACCCTGGGGTACCACAGGTTTCACAGTGGGTCAGAACATCATTTTTCTTCAAGACAGAAACACCATCAAGGCTGCTCTGAGATCCCAGATGGAGTTTCCAAGGATTCACTGTTTTGCTTTTGCATATAATTATCACTAACAAAGGTACTGCGCATCAAATTACACTCTCAGTAACACCTGTCTACATTGTCTTGAGGAATTTGTGCAGCTGTGATTGTCGGGCCCAGTAATCAGAACTTAACAAACAATTCCATTATGGAGGAACAGGCTACAGATTCCCAAGCCTTTGTCTACACCGGAAAGTTGACCAGAATAATTATTGTGAAATACACTACTCCAAAATAGCTATTGCAGAAGAGCTTCCTGTTTGGGCTCTATTCTGAAATAAAAGTGCTTTTATTCTGTGGAAGTGTACAAATTATACTGAAATAAGATGTCCAGGGAAAGAAATTCTTCCTAAATAGCTTAATATCCAACAGCTATTCCAGTTAGTTTCCCCATACAGACAAGCCTGTCAGTTGTGCTCATTCTCCAGGCCTGACAAAATTAAAAAGTGCATTTACTATGTCAAAAAATGGGATTCTGAAATGATGGGACACTGGCTTCAATAGTTTTTACCTAAACCACTTTTTTGAAGCATCACTGCACTGCAGGCAAAATTTTAATAGAAAAGCCCACAAACACATCAACACAAGTCCCCCTCTGTTTTTGGGAGGGAAGGGACAGCCTGTCTACACCCAGATCTTGTAAAGGTT